CATCTCCTGTGATCCTTAGCTTCCAGCAGGCCTCAGATCAAGTCCCACATTCTATACAAAGCCATTCCTCATCTCCCTGACACCACCCACCTCTACAATTATTAGTGTTCCTGATCCCAAAATGACCTCGTATAGATTTTGTACTGATTTATCTGAGTACATGCTGCTTTCCCTCACTGTAGAATATAAACTCCATGGAAAGCTGTTGGAGGTTTTTTGTCTTTGTGTCTTCAATTCATAGCATAGTGTCTCGCATGGAGGAGGCATTTAACTTCATTCTGTTGGATTTCACTGAATTACTGTAAGCCAGGTTCTAAGAAAACATCATTAGTGCTACTCTTTGGGACACCTGCCCAGGCTTTGCCAACAGGCACAACTGAAATGTCAGTCTGGGAGACACAGGAAAGACTGTGGCAGTTGTGAATATTTTACAAGTTCAATAGCTGCTGTACTCCTAGGACAGAGGCTCAGATCAGAGGGCTTGGTCAATACAAGAAAAATAAGAACCATTTCTTAGAAAAGATAGAGTAACTTACTACCTCCTATTATTGTGGGATGCACCCAAAATATGCATCACTCATTTCCTAAAAACTATGTCCAGAGGTACCGTGTGATTTGGTCGTGTGTGTGTGTGTGTGTGCGCGTGCGTGTGTGTGTGTGTGTGTGTGTGTGTGTGTGTGTGTGTGTGTGTGTGTGTGTGTCCAGGGAGTGTGAGGTCTGACTCTTAGGATACACTGTGATAAAAGATAAGAGGGAAGTTGAGCAGCCACTGGTGGGTAGAGGGAAACTTTGGTAAAAGTGAGCACACACCAATACTTGTGGAAAGGGAACATTTTGGCACACTTTTAGAATATTTACTTATCAGGCACCAAAGGACAAGCCTCTGGAAACTCCATAATTCTGATTGCTCCCCTCTCCTTTTTCTTTCATTTTAAACTTTTAGAAATATATTTTTACATTTTATTGGTCAAGACTATTATTTCATTGGTATAGGGTATTATCTATGCCCTCCACCAATGCAGACGTAGCTCTTTCTCACTTAAGAATCTCAGAGAGTTGACTTGCATTGAGGAGTTAAATGACTTGTCTAAGGACATATGGAGCCAGGTCTTCCAGACTTTCAGGGCAGTCTGTTTTCCACCATGATACACTGTTGTCCTTTTTTTTTTTATGAGATTTTTAAATAATAGGGAAATATTTGGAAGGCTTCCTTAATAACTAGAAGTTTCTGTTATTATAAAATTAACATGAATTAAATGAAATTTAATGAAATTAAATTTTAAGTTATAATGTTAAATGTTAATGTTTTAAAATGTTAAAAAGTTAAAATGAAATTATGAAATAATTATGAAATTGTGAAAATAAATTGTTATTTTGTTATTACAAGAACAGATGTATTATTGAAGATGTTGAAAGCTAGAAAAAGATAAAACTTATAGTTACTGTAAGTACATTTTTAAATTTAGTTATCTTTCTACCAATTCACCCAATACTTATGGAGTGCTCATGAAGCCATGGCACTAAACTAGGACCCCTGGAGATAATACGGAACAATAAAACACATTCACAGAAGCTGTACAATGCTACATACAATCTGGATTAGCAGTAAAATAATTATGGTTATTACAATGTCAACATTTGCAAAATCTGAGAGAACCCAGAAGATTCCTATTGCTGCCCAATGAAGCAATGATATAAGCCATCACTGAAGAGACCTTCAACCCATCTGTTTTTCTTAACCAACCATTGTTTCACGTGGTGTAAAATAGTAGAAAAATGACTAAGACAGGCATTCTTTTTTTGTTGTACTTTTCTGATCTCGCTACAAGGTAGAAAGATTCTAAATTACAGTCCCGGGCTTATGATTCTTAAAGGTGGTTACAGTCTAATCATCTCCACCTTTAAAAGTTCTTCTTACTACTGCTCCCTCAAATCCTTAGTCATCATTATTGACCTCAATTATCATGCTCTGTAATTTAAAGCATCAGGCAAGCAACCTCAAAAAGACTCAGATGAGCTGACACCACCTATTGTGCAAATATATACTCAGACAATTATTAAAATGCACTCTGCATTATCAGCTAGATACAGACCAGAACAGCTTATTAGGGGAAGGTAGAGTCAACTTGGTACAATACTGCTACTTAGTACTCATATTCCACTTTTTACTTTTTTTAAAGCATTTGTCAGCTAGAGGCAGAAATTGAGGTAGAAGCAAGGACAGACAATGCTGAAAGAGGAAAAATAGTAGAATTCAGTCAGTTCCCTCAGAACCAACAGAACTTTATAAATGATCTAACACTGAGTCAGGGATTCCAGAGTAAATCATAACTAGTCCCACCAGTGCCATTAGCTAATGCATGTCACACAAGTTGGGGAAGAGAAGACTTGGGGAAAGAAATGATAACTGTCTTCAAGAAATGTGAAGGATTGTCAGCTAGAAAACAGTTTATACTTACTCTGTTTGGTGTCAGAGAGGCAAAACTGGGAGTAATGGGTAAAAATTAAGAAGAGACACATTTCTGCTTGAATTAAGGAAAAATGTCCTAACAATTAAAGCTATCTGAAAGTAGAATGGGCTGCCTATGGGATAGTGGGCTCCTCCTAACTGGAGGTCTTCAACTAAAGGCTGGATATCAGCCTGAGGCTCTGCAGTGAAGGGGCTTCTCTACAGATGGAAATAGCTGGTCTCTGAGGTCTCTGACAACTCTGAGGTCTCATAATTCTCAATCCTTTCACTAAACCTCGATGGACCTTACCCATGATGATCATAAGGTGTTGGATTTGGTTGCCTCCTTTTTTTTTTTTTTGAAGAAGGTTGAGTCCCTCTGTAAGCAAGCAGTCAGAGAAGGGTATCTTCAACCGTGTTCCCAGGTCATCATCCTTAACAAATAATTGTTAAATCAACAGGGAGTTCTTCCATCCTTTAGGCCACATGTCCTCCCCCAACAATGAAGAGAAGAACTGAGCATCATGGGGAGAAGCCATTGCTTCTCCTGGCTGCCACTGGGATGAGGTGGGAAGGAAAAGAAATAAGGACAGAGGCAGCTCACTGCTGAACACCATCTACCCCCTCATCAATATTCCACTGGTGCTACTATGTCCATTGTAGCCAGTACCTTTTTAAAAAATTTCTGAGGGATAAAAACATCAAGACTTACCAGCGTTTTATCTTCACTCACAGCAACTCTGACATGACTCTTCAAATGGTTAGGAAAGGTTCATTCACTCATTCGTTCTCTCTCCCTCCCTCTTTCTCACTCTCTCTCTCCATGTACATATACACACATATACATTCATACACACACATACATATAAGTATATGTATTTTTTATATATACACGTATGTGTGTATGTTCTGCTGAGGTTGAAGAGAGGGAAAGAACTTGAGTGTCATTCTGCCTTTGCCTACCTTTCTATACCTATATTCCAATCCAAAAACTCACTCTAAAGCCCAGTAAGTCTTAGGGCCCAGGCTATCTTAGAGGTTGCCTCGTTTCCTCAGGTTAAAAAAGCAGGATAAATAACCACAGGAGGGAAGGGGGAAGGTACAATCCCAATTTTGCAGGCAATGAGACAGTCATATAACTCACTTAAGACCACACAGCAGAACAGTGACAGAGCTGGCATTATGACTCAAAAGTTTCCAATTCCTGGGCCTGTGTCCATTACATGAGACATAAATGACTCCGGTTACCTCATCTGTAAAATGGGAACAACAACATTGACTTCCCTCACAAGGATGCTGGAATGTAGCTAATGTTACCACAGTGCTGAACCCCTAGAACAAAAAACACTTTGTAAACAGAGAGTGCTTAAATGGTTCTGTTTTTATGCTTTAAGCTTTACTCAGGCAGACCTCCACTGTAACTTCTCACTCTTGGCTTTCTGTTTGTTCTTCACACTCAAAATAGGAACAAGAGCCTAGCATCTCAGATTCCAGACCTTTAAATAAGCATAGTCCATGTTTGAATCATATGAAGGGGGAAAGAATAAAAAAAATTATAAAGCTCAGCTAACTCAGTAGCTAAAAAGAAAAGGCAATTCCATTTTAAAAACACAAGACAGGAGAAAATAGGATTGATGAGAAGACTCAGATGAAAACATGTTTGCCCAGCTCTACCTCAATTATAACTCTGTCCTTATCCACTGAAATCCTGTTCCAATGTCTCATCGGGTCAGAGTGGCGGCCCTTGGGTTCTAGATGCTAAATTCCAGGAGAGTGCAAATTCTAGAAGGTTCTACCAAAATGTAAATGTTTTGATCATGGGCCAATTAATGAACCATGTGTCTGTTTTGTGAGGGTGAGGCATAGCCAAACTTAGAGAGATTCATTATTAGAAAGCTGACCACCAAATAATAAGTTTCAGTCATAGATAGCAACTTATGACACCATCTACTCATGCATAGACAGCATTGGTAGAATAAGAGCCTACCCTTAAGAAAATCACAATTATTTTGTAGTATGAAAGTATATGCCAGCTTGGGAATGGACATGTCAGCTTGGGAAAAAAGGGAAGGAAGGGAAGGGAAGGGAAGGAGGTAAAATCTATGACAATAGATACAGAGCTGGAGTAAGAGTGTTAGTGGTTGCCTACCCATGGTAAATTGTTAGATACGAATAACAAAGAGCCTAAAATTGTTAGAAAGTATGAAATGAGCCCAATTCGATAGTTTAACTTGGAGTACAGGGAGTGCTGGTCTCCCTGATTTCATTCATTCCCCCTTCCCATCCATCCTTTCCACGGCTGCAAAATTAATGTGCCTAAGACAAGCCAACAACAACAAGTCAATAAGCGTTTATGAAGCACCCTCTGTGTGCCAGGGGCTTTCCTAAGCTCTGGAGATATAAAGAAAGGCTTCCCACCTCCCACCAAAAAGAAAGGGGGGACAAAAAGTCCCTGCATTCAAGAAGCTCACAGCGTAATAGGGGAGACAACATTAAACTGTGATGTTCAAACAAGATATACACAGGATAAACAGGAGATAATCTTGGAGGGAAGACACTAAGATTAAAGATTTGGAAAGATTTCTTGCAGAAGGTAAGATTCCCGTCAAGATTTAAAGAGAGCAAGGATGCCAGGAGGCAAAGATAAGAAATGAGAGAATTCCAGGTATTGGCACCAGTCACTGAAGATGTCTAAAGTCAAGAAATGGAATATCATAGGTGAGGAACAGTGAGGAGGATTGAAGAGGAAAGTTGCCTAGAAGTGAGTTAGGTGTAAAAAAGATTAGAAAAGGGGTAAGGGAAGGGGCCATGAAGGGGATAGTTAGGTGGTACAGTGGAGAGAGTGCTGGGGCTAGAATCAAGAACACTTAAGTTCAAATCTGGCCCAGCCACTTACTAGCTGTGTAACCCTGGGCAAGTTACTTAACCACTGTCTGCCTCAGCTTACTCAACTGTAAAATAAGGATCATAATAGAACCTACCTCACAGGGTCCTTGTGAGGGTCAAACAAGATATTTGTAAAGCATCTGGCACAGTTTCTGGCATATAGTAAGTGTTTCATAAATGTTCTCTTCCTCTTCTATGAAAGACTTTGAGTGCCGGAGGTTTTCACATTTTATCCTAGAGATGACAGGAAGCTACTGTAGTTTTACTAAATGGGGGTCACAAGGGGTGTGTGACATGGTCAGAGCTGTGCCTTAGGAAGAACAATTGGACAGACTGTGGAAGATGGACCAGAGTGGAGAGAGACTTGACGCAGGAAGAGGAACCAATGGGCTATTGCAATAAACCAGGCATATTGTGATGAGCGATTGCACCAGTGTCAGAGGAGAGAAGGGAGCATATGTGAGACATATTGGGAAGATCTAAATGATAGACGTGGCAACTATCTGTAGAGTGAAGGGTTGAGAATAACACCGAGGTAGCAAGTCTGGGTGACTGGGATGATGGTGCACCCTCAACAGAAATGGGGAAGTTAGGAAGGGGGAAGGGTTTGGAGGGGAAAAAAATAGTGAGTTCACTTTGGGGTATGTTGAGTTTAAGATGTCTATGGGACCTCCAGTTTGAGATGTCCAAAAGGCAGTTAGATTTGAGGTTGGAGATCAGGAGAAAGGTTAGGGCTAGACAAATAAATTAGAGAATCATCTGCACAGAGATATTTGATTCCTTGGGGACTGATAAGAAAGATCACCAAGCAAAATAGTATTGAGGGAGAGGAAGAGGGAAAAGGCCCAGTACATAGATCTGACCATATCACTCTCATACTCAAAATTCTTCTGCGACTCCCTATTACTTCCAGAGGACCTGGATTTAAATCCTGACTGTGCCTTTTATCACTTCTATAACCCTGGGCAAAGTCACTTCTTGTCTCTAGACCTATTATCTCATTTGTAAAGTAAGGGAATTAGACCAGATGATCTTTAATTCCATTCAAGCCCTAAATATATAATGATGCTATGAACTTGACTTGTTATCTGATGATATTAACATTAACTTTCAAAGAATCAATGTTGTTGTTTCAAAGGGCCCTAAGTAGAATTATTCCCTCTTTTGCCCGTAGGGAACGCATCCCATAGAAATTATAATTTTAGTCAATAAAGAAAGACAACAGGGCAGTGAGGAGCATGAAATGTAATTCACCCCTTTCTGGTAACACACTGTTAAACCCTGTTAATGAGCTCTGTGACCTCTGAATGAGACTAAAACTCATATCTGCTACAGAAATGGAATCATATTGATCTGCCTCAATTTCATATCAACTTTATACTTTTAAAGGTGTGGGCTTTCACATTTATATCACCCTATAGCCTATTTTTCTTCTCCTTTTCAAAGCCAAACTCCAAGAAATGGTTAGCTCTTTTCCCTCACCTTCCATTCACTTCTCTACCCCTTGCATTCTGGATTTTAACTTCATCACACAATTAACACTCCTCTCTCTGAAGTCACCAGTGATATTGACTGCTAAACCCAAAGGCCTGTCCTCACTCCTCATTCTACTTGACCTCTCTGTGGTCTCTGTGGACCTCTCTTGACCTCCTCTTAAAACTGTGGAGCACCTCTTCCTCTTGGAGACTCTCTCCTTCCACAATGTCCACGGCCCTTCTCTTCCTTCCTGTCTACTCCTTTGATGGATCATCATCTATTTCCATCAATTAAATGCGGTTAAATCAATTAAATTCCCCATAGTTCTCACCTAGGTCTTCATCACTTCTCTCTACATTCTCTTCCCTGGTAATCTCATCAAATCCCATGAGTTCAATTATCTCCATGCAGAAGACTCCATATGTCTACCCCTTATCTCTCCTATGAGATCCAGGCCCATTTTATTAACTGTCTGAAGGAATCTCTACCTGGATGTCTCGTTTGTATCATATGTCCATGTCTCTCTGTCTCTGTCTCTTTGTATCTCTGTATGTGTCTCTCTGTCTCCATCTCTTTGTATCTCTATATGTATTTCTCTCTGTCTGGTTGTCTGTCTCTCTCTCTCTCTGTCTCTGTCTCTCTCTCTCTCTCTCTTTCTCTCTCAGCAATTTGATGAAAGTTCTTCCTTACATCGAAAGAAAATCTGCCTCCATATAACTCCCACCTAATTGCTCCTGGTTTGGGCCTACTCTACATGCAGTCCTAAATAGTACTAGATTTGGAGTAAAAGACCTAAGTTTCAGTCCCGACTCTGTCACCTGTGAAGGCCTGGCTGAGTTATTTAATCTCTCTGGGTGCCAGTCTTCTCATCTCTAAATTAAAAAGGTCGGACTAGATAACTTCTGAAGTGCCTTCTAGCTCTAAACCAATGATCCTGTGATCCCCTTAAGTCTTCTTTCTCTAGTCTGCACATACCCATTACCTTCATCAATTGATCTTATGAGTTACCTACATGGGCTGTTCTCTCCCTGATTCACCCTAATTCCCGTAGACAGATATGAGAAGTGCAGCCAAGAGAGGAGAAAGCATTCCCTTTTAAAACATACTGAACACTATTTTCCATGTACAGTTTCTCCAATGCAGAATATAATGATACAGAATATAATGATTTCATGACTGAAATACTATAGGACTATTTATGCAGCCCAAGATTATATTAGCTTTTTTTTTTATCAATTGTATTAAACTTGTGTTTCCTACACAGAGTAAGCATTCAATAGATATTTGTTGAATTGATGATTTACCAATGAAAATGAATGAATGGTCAACTAAAATCCCCAGATCTTTTTCACATGAACTGCTGCCAAGTCACTCTTTTGTACTGTGCTTGCACCGTTGAATTTTTTGAATTTAAATGAAAGATTTTACGTTTATCCCTGCAAAGTTTCAGCTTGTCAGTTTCAAGCCCAGCATTCCAGCTTGTCAAATCTTTGTGAATCTTGAGCACAGATGCTGTATTAGCTCTCTCTACTAGCTCTATGATATCTCTAAATTTAATTAATGTAACTTCTATAACTTCGAGTAATTGACAAAAATGTTGAGCTGATAATGGTCAAGGACAAAGCCCTGTGGCAGTCTATTAGCATATTATTTTCAAGCTGCCATATGCCTATTAGTCAACACTTTGGGGGCACAATTGTTCAAAACCTGATTCAAATCTACCTAACTTTATCATCATATAAGCCACATTTAACCATTCTATCTACAAGGAAGATTAATATGAAAGCAGGAACTCTAACTGGACCACAACCTGTAACTATCAAGAAACCCCATGAATAGACCCACGACGCAAAGATAGGACTGTATCAGCAACAGCCAACACAGCTGACTAAGTGGAAATGGCTACAGCTAATTAAAGATCTCACAAGAAAGATCCTTCCTCTCAGAACGATGACTCTGGGGACACTGAACTCAAATCACAGTTATTTGTGCACAACCAAAGGACAATCCACATGTTGCTTTGGCCACTAAACAACATCAAGAGGACTAAAGGAAAGCCTCTCCCCACCTGCACCCCCCCCTCCACCCTTAGCCCAATGGATGGCCTCTCTGCCCAACTGAGGATTTATGTCTATGGAGTCTCACTGGATGGACAGGTATGAATGGGTTATGACCTGTACCACTGGAGGGAGTTTCCACACTGATGAAATCAAAAATCTACTCAAGTATCAAAGTTTGGTATTCCTAACTCTAATGAGAGAGCTGAAAGCACACTATTCTGTCCAATAGAGAGATGTTCCTAGGTTCCTGGCTGGAAGTGGGAGTGGTTCTAGCCAAAAGGACTTAGACAGTACCAAAAGGTAACCCAGACCTTCATGCCACTAGTATCTATGTCACTAGGACCACAGAAGTATTCTTGCCACTCACCTACTAATTATACCAATAACAATGGCTGCTTCAGGTTCCCAGGGAAACAAAAATATATTGCAGAAGTTACCAACACAGAAACCCCCTCAAAGGAGTTTGGCAGACTCAAGCTACCCACTGTTTTTATTCCCATTTGGCTTTCATTCAGGAAGTTAAATATGTTTCCCAATCTTAATAACCATGTCTTCTACAAAACTGAAATTAGGAGGGGGAGGGACATTCCAGGGGGCCATCAATGACGCCAAATCTGCTATAGTTGCTGGCACCATGTGTATGGCTGCTGTGATTTCTGCAGCAGAACAAGTCAGGAATGAATTCCAAAGAACCCCATTACCTATTTTATCAACACAACCTATAGAATTCTGGCCAATTATCAAATTCTCCCAATTCACTTCCGGTCTACTAGAAAAGTTAGGACAGGAAGAGGAACCCAAGCTCCTATGTCTGCCAATATGTCTTGACGCATAGAAATTTAGCCCTTGGTATGTGTCCCCTCTGTCCGTTCATTTAATCACCGACTGGTTTGGTTTCTTTTTACTTTATTCTCTTAGCATTCCAGTTATTTGGTGTGGAAGAACCATTTTATATCTTTGTATGAAGTTTTACATGTAAATGCTGGCATAAAATGTCATGCTGTAGACCAGTGGCTCTCAAAGTGTGATCTGGGAAGCCCCAGGGATTTCTACAAGAGGAGAAGATGAAAAGACTGTAAGAAAACCTCTCTACTCTGACTTATTGAAGAGAATATGCTGATCTTTGAAAAAAAGGAAATGTTTTAAGAGAAACACACAAAAAGGAAAATAA